GGGCCACGAAGGCTTGCAGCTTATGAGCGTGCCAAACGTAATACCACGCCAGACGTGGATCATGATGTGCATTGACATGGGTGAGGGAGAGTTCACCGCATCCCATGCCAGAAGACGAGTCCTGGACGTGGCGGCCCGTTCCGATACGACCAGTCCGTCTGGCCCCCTCCCACTCTCCCTCGATGCCGACTGAGCAGTGTCTTCTGCAGAGCGCCGACATGGCCAGCACCCAGAGTGATCCTGCGGGCGGGGAGACTGCCCTCGACTGGCTGGCGTTTAGCGAAATCGATGGAACCAACGTACAATCACCAAGCCAACCTGGGGTCGAACGCCTCGGATCACAGTTCCTGCAGTTGTTGGACACGACCTGAGGTGATCAACTCGGTATCTACTACCCACGCGTGCATCGTGAATCGCGGCACACTCGCCACTGCAGTGCATCATTAAACGGCCCAAGGAGGTCGTGATTTGAAACAGAAGGATGGGACCCTTTGGCAGCCGGATTGTGGTTCAGAAGCTTGGCTCGACACACCCAACTCCACAATTTACGGCAACCTGCACAAACGACTTTGCCAATCGATTGCGCCGAATGCCACGGAGCCCGCTGCTTACAGCCCTTTGCGTATATTAAGCCTGCACGGGGAGAGACACGATAAATTGTCCCTAGTGCCTCCTCTTTAGCTTCTAGCCGTCTTATATCGAGGATGGTCCGGGATGCCTGTCCCTCGGACCCAACTAGACCTCGAGCCTCGGGTATTGAGGCATATCATTGGCTGCTATTTCGACCACGCGCAGCTGTGACTGCGGGCTAACCTAACTTCTGTCCATCTGCTATCTGCCCACTTGGGACATGAGTCTGATGTATGATGCGTCAGACTCGCTCTCTGGCCCATGCGCGTGCGTGGCCTCGGGGCGCATGGCCATCAGTGAAGAAGAGTGGATGAGAAACGGCACATCTGTTTGTAGTTCGGAAGCAGCGTACCGGTCTGCGAGGTGGCGCTCGGCCGATTGTGTTGACAGAACTCTATCTCTCACGTGTCAGCCGCTCCTTAGGCTCGCCAATCCCAACGCTGATATCAATGGCTTCAGATGATCTGCCATGACGCCCCGTACCTTGCACATTCCACCCGACCGACCTACCAGAGACTGGCTTAGCAACAGCCTTGCCGCGGTCAGTCGGTCGTTGCCGAGAAGTCTCAGACGCCGGTGTAGTTGGACTTGTGGGAGACGCCGCACGTCGTCTACTAAGCAGGTAGGGCCGAAAGCCAAAATAAGCGTCGACGATATCTCGTTTGGCTAGTTTGGCGCTTTGCAATAAATCCTAGTGGGCAGCAGCAGGTAAAAGGTACTTGGCCGTCGCCCCGTGAGGCCCGTGAGGGTACATCAGCGAAGTTCTGGTTTGGGCCCCGAGGTGCTTCCGGCTTTGACCGTTGCTAGAGCGTTGCTTGGCTAAGCTTGACTCCCCGTCGCGATGCCACGCATCTAGATGCATGTATCTGACGAGCAAAGAAACGCACTAGATCGTTTCTACATTCTAACTGCAAATTACATCAGCAGGGAGGGGCAGGGATGGGGAGGAGGACAAAGTCAAGTCCAAGGCACTTCGGATCTCAGTGGCGGCCAGTGACTTCACATCGCCCACAAAAAGCTCGTAAGCATATCCTGCAGGTAGCCGAAGACTGGATCCCCCCCTCCCCCTCCCCATCGTCCAGGCAGATCCTTTCCCAATTACCAGAGGGTGTTTGTGGCGTCTCGTAGAGGCATTGACGGTAGGATAGCTGCAGATGTGATGCATGGAAAGGCGGAGTCCTCTCACCAGAGGCAGACCGGTAGGTACGCTGGCGGTGCGTCGACTCTCTCTCTTTCTCTGTCCCTTCTACTTTGTCCCTGGTGTCTCTAGCTAAATTTCGGAAGTACTCGATTTAGACGATAGCACGGGAGTCCCTTCCTCCCTTCTTCCTGGCCCACTCAGTCCCAAATCAGACTTTGGGTGGATGTCTCTATGTGATACTAGATTTCCCTACGGGGAAACTGTCATGCTCATTTCAGAAGTACCAACGACAATGACGAGCAGATCGGGCAAAATTGTTTGGCTTTCTGGGGCTGGAAGAACTAAACAACTTGAAGCATTGGCCCTGCAACTCGAACGGCTTCTTGCCTTGATTGTCCACGAAAGATCTGGACCTTGAATGCCCGGATCTCAGGTGTTTAGCGCTGCAGAAGAGGCTTTACATTCACCTACCTTACTTCTGTTTTTGCTCTTATCCCACACCCAACCCGACACTGATGTCAGGCACCGCCCGTCCTGCGCTCACATCGACTTACACGCCTTTTCCTGGACCATACAGGCACATATGCTTAGCCCCCAATCGTCGGGCTCCGCTCCTACATGATTGCCTACTCCCATACTCCCCCCCCCCTCTCCTCGAGAAGCACCAAACCGGCGCAATATCAAACTCTAAGGATATTACAAAGACCGACTAGTTGCCCAGCTCTCCACACGTCTTCGACTGCCACATAACCGCCGCTGTCTCAGAGGCTTCAGCTTGCGCAACCACGATCCACCCACTCAGTCCAAAAGAAAAATAGAACTCTTACATCTGGCCTGTGGTGAGTCCTATCAAAGTTTCTGTCATATCTCCAGACGCCTCTAACTCTGCAGGCTGTCCGACACCTGGGGGTTCAACGGTACACTCAAAGCAGCTAGCTCCGATCTTATCCTCGCCTTGCGACACTGCTATTATATCTTGAGGCTCCAAGATCTGCTCAGCAGATACTTTGTGCAATCCGAAGCCACCACCTTGCAGGGGTTCGAAGTAAAAGTGAGTTCTGAGGGTATATAGAATCCGTTTCATCCTGAAATCGGCCTTTGGACCTCGTCTAGACTACCCATATACCCTTGATCCAACAAGCTTGGCGATCTTCCGCAACCTATTGGCTACATTGAGCTGGATTTGGGCGCAACACACATTCTCTCAACTTCGTCTTGGCTTGACCCGACCGTCTTCGACTACAGAAATCCGAACGAGGCGCTTCACTCTCCAACTCGAGACAAACAACAGTGCTTGTCGCTTCCGAATCGCCCGAAACACAAGCGCAGACCTTTTTTTCCCCGGCGACTTGGATCAGGTATGTCGATTTTGGCGCTGGTTTAAGAAGTTTTCGCAATGATCATTTCCTCATATCGCGATTCTTCAAGGGCGTCGTATTGTTGCGCTAAGCCGTCCCGGCGACCTAGTGCGGGTGGCGTTACATTCGTCTTTCACTGAGCAATGAGAGGCCATGGATATTACATACTGGGTGCTAACTTGCGGCAGGAACGCATGTAGGTGGCTCTTGCATGTCAATTGTGCTGCTTCCGATCGAATGGCAGGCTGGCTCCCCCTTCGGGAGAGACGCCAGCCACACAATGGCCCATCTCTCGCGGGATTGGCAAGGCAGCGATCGGGATAGCAGGTCGTATTCGCAGCTGCGCATCATTCTCTTGTGGCTGCTCTTCATGAAGGCTACGAGACGCCTCGCCAGTGTCGCTCGCTCGCGTCGAGACTCGACTTGGAGGGCTCTCGGCCATTGCCTTTGCCGGTTTCTGCTGCTGATGCTGAATCCCAACAGCCATGGCACTTCCCTTTCTTTGTTGGTACTTTTACTGGCCGGAATGGCTAGCTTTCGGAAGACGAGCTGACGGAGCATTTGAATGGCCAGGATCATAAGCACGAGTTGGCTCACCCTGTGATTGGAGCACTTGGCGTTGACAGGGGGGATTTTACGTCCGTCAGGTCAGCAAACACCCCTGTGCAGTGGGTGGTGTGGACAACCAACACCACCCCTCCCCTCCCCCCGGCGCAGCATCGCACTATGTATGCGTTCTTCGCCAGCACCAGCACCAGCATCAGTACCAAGCGCCAGCCTAGCCTGGTCAGTCGCCGGGCTGCCAGGCTGGCTTGGACTGGTAGTCGAACAGACCAATAAGCACCCCCGACCCACCCTGCAGATATCCCTCTAGTCAATTACTTGACCTTTGGCTGACCGTTCGTACCTCGTGGAGCAGAATACCGGAAGGAACCGCTAGCCACATTAACGGAAACAACGCCTCTAACCAAAAGAGGCCGCGCCGATCGCATGAATTCTCAATCACTGCAGAAGGTATCCGTCCGCAATTCGCTTTTTATTTATTTATACAACGTCCTTACATCTCTCATTCTCCCTTTTGCTTCCATCCAAAGGCCGGCCACTTCCACCTGCGCTCGCTGGGTCGGTTGCGTCGTGGCCATTTTAATTAATCTGGATCCAATCCAATCGGATCCATTGGCCCAGTACCGTCGGTGGGCAGAGGCAGAGACCGTCTAAATACAGTATTCAAGAAGCGGCGGCGCGACAGGTTTACTGTGAACTCGTACGAGAGAACAAAAAAAAAGTGAGTGCAATAATCCTTGAAACACCTATCTTGCAGACAAACCTCATAGCCTGCTGCGCAAAATTCACCACTAAAAGGGAGCGCCCGGGACCGAGAGCAGGCTAGGCTTCTCAAGTCTGGGTGTGCAAGTGCAAGTGCAAGTTCGAGTGGTGCTCAAGTTCTTTCCGGCAGCTCCTGCCCTGGACCAACAAGTCCTTCAAGAAAAAGAAAATGCGTATTGGCGGAACGGGGCACCAAAGCTATCCCTCTCCGCGCATTGTACGACATGAGCAACAATGCCCACTCACCGAGTAGCACTGCAACCAAAATCATGCCCGCTCCTTGGGACCCCCCCTCCCCCCAACACGCCCTTCCTACATTCAGTGAGAAGCCGGGTCTAGTGGTATAACTTCATCTGTACGGTGCGGCACTTGACCAGGCACCCTCAAAGCAAACATCCCTCAATTAATCACACCCGCAGTCTATTCCTCCTGGCAACTTCTGACTTCACCATTGCCATATTCTGGAAGTTTGTCTACATTTGCTAACATTCTTTTTCTTGCGTGCTACAAGACCGGTTCTTGAGTCATTAGTTCTTCCTGCATACGTCCAGACATGCCCAGAGCCTAGTAATGGCAGCAGCCTCAGGGTCTCTATTGATTTTCCATCGTACTTAGATTGCAAGAGAACCAGAAAGTCGCTTTAGAGCCTGCACTAACGCGTCCGGCACTTGCAGCAGGACTTCGAGCCTTCGCCGCCCTCTTGCCACGGGCTGGAATACCTCGAAATACCCGCTCAATCTGATATGAGGTAAGTTAAAGTCCATTTTCCATTGTGCCTTTATTCCGTATGTACGGGCAAAAGAAAGAAAAAAAAAGCAAAAGAAAAAATCAAGAGGACGACCAACAGAGATATCCAAGGACAAGAATTGCGCACCGTGTCGTCACATGTTCTCTGCACTTCCAAGCTTCTCTTCACTTCACCTTACCTTTCCCATTTGCATGCAATGCCCTTTGCCAGTCGCAAATCGGGCACACGAGTGTCAAGCCATAGGCAACTCACCGCTGCCCACGGTCGTCCCTCGAAGCCCATAAGTGCGGAGGCCCAATTGCAAGGATGCTGCCGCGGCTGGGGAGGTGCCACCAGCTTTCCGGCCATCGCAGCCATGTGGTGTGGTTCGCAGCTCTCTAGCTCTCACATCCCGATCTAGTGCTCTGCTGTTCCTGTGGCACCGGCAGCGTTGTCAGTACAATTGTATCACCCCTGGTGCCACCTGGGCAGTTGGGCATTGTCTCGCATGGGAACGCAATACAGCATCCATGGTCGTGCCAGCTTGCCTGCCTAACACCACACTCTCCGCACACGATCTTGTATTTTGGCGGCAGCTGGGAGCCCCTGCTGATTTGTCGGTCTAGATACCCCCAAGACTCCAATGCCTCGTCCTTGACCATAGAAACCCAACCTCAGCCTGCGCCGTCTCTGATATTCCCAGCGCCGCTCCTCAATAACACTACGGGGTATTCCCCCGACACCAGCACTTTCTACCCCCCGGCCTCGCAGATTTTCTCTGGCCTCGCAGACGTTAGGCCGCGCCTAGGATCCAGGTACGTCACACTTGATTCAACCCCGGATTTTACCAATGACACATCCGAAAGGTGGCTTCCACCTGCTCACCACAGTAGCAGTAGCACGCCCTCCTCGGGTATGGCACAGGCCCATCATCGCTCCACTGCATTGCCAAATCCAGTCTATAACGCAAGAGAACTCTACTCACGATCGACGCCGTCGTTCCCCAGGGGAAACGAGTACACAACGACACAGAGATCGCCACCATTCACCTCTCTCTCGCGCCGCCATCCACTGTCACCAACTCCCAGTCCCAGTATTGGTTTCACCAACCCCATCAGGATGGACCCCAGCCAGTACGGCGCAAAGGCCGCCCAAAACATTCCCCCACTCCAGAGCATCACCCCTCACGGCCATTTGATGTACGCACAGGGGCAAACGCCCATCAAAGTTGATATCCACGGCACCATTGACAAGGGCTTCTTCCTGTCCGAAGGCGACTGGACTTGTTACAGGCGCAACTACTTCAGTTGCGTCTGCTCCTACAGCCTGCAGCCCAACTACAATGGCGCGGCCATGCACTACACGCCGAACGGATCCACGACTACGTACAATGTCTTTGGGTTTGCCATGTCTCTCTCGGCTGTCGTTGCGGACAGCGACTCGCACGCGATCGACCTGGTCCAGCACACGCCTAAAAGAGACAAGGGCCCGACCTCGCGGCCTGAGCGAGTACAGATGAGCCCCAAGCAGCCTCAACAGGCGGCCCATCCTCTGGGCACTCTGGCGGGCTATCCAGACCATACGCAACAGTACCCGCCGCAAGGGGGGTATCCGACGGAACATACCTTCGAGCGAATCCAGTTCAAACAAGCAACTGCTAACAACGGCAAACGAAGGGCAGCGCAGCAGTACTACCACCTGCTTGTTGAGCTCTACGCTCATGTTGCCGAGGTCGGGACCGGGCGGAATACCGCAGACCAGTGGATGAAGATTGCTCACCGCAAGTCCGCGAAAATGATTGTGCGCGGGCGGTCTCCCGGCCACTACCAAACGGAAAGAAGGGGAAGTACCAGCAGCGGGCCAGGAGGGTCGAGCGGAACGTTCGGGGGCTACGGGTCGCAAGTACCAGACTACTCTACCGGTGGCTCCTCGCTGCTCGGGGGCAGCTACACGAGCAGTCAATACGACCATAGGACGAATCACTATTCGCAACAACGTCATCACGACCTGCCCATGGAGCCCATCATGTCGCCGGAGGAGGTGAAGACGATCGACAGCACCAAGGATTACCAGTATTATCCAACAACAATCTACGAAGGCACCGATGTGAGGCAGGGCGTAGAGATGTTTGTCCACCGCAACGGCCACGAGTCTATCATGACGTCGATGCCAGGCAACGCCGAATCAAGAGTCAAGCACGAAAGCGAGAGCACCCTTCCGAGCCTATTCGGATACCAGGGCCAGGCCTACTACTCGCGTGGCTGCGGCCGGTTTGAGGGCAAGACGAGCTCTGCTGGGTACTATCCCACGATGCTCCCACAATCGAGTTGAGCGTACACGAAGACCGCATTTGATGGTTTAATTTAGTTTGGGCGAAGGAGGGCATGGGAAAAGCATCACTTATTCTCTTGGGTCTGGATTCGGGCTTGAAGGGCTCAGGCACCCGGCGTATGGAAGACGGAAACGCATACGAACATTGTACGGTCATGAAATTTGCATGTGGGGTCTACGGCTGGCTACGGCGAGAGGAAAGAATGAATCGACTGGTCCGACGGATGGATTCCCTGAGTGTTTACGAGAATCTGGTTCGAACATGGTGTGCTGGCTTTTGCGGAAAGAATACCCAGGAGATTTGATACGGAAAAATAGCGAGACTGGGGACGTTCGCTCAGCTCTATTCAGCGACGATCATACGATACGGAATCATGGGCGGCGTTGGAAGAGATGGACTCAGGCATGACCTTTTTCTTTTATTTTTCTTCGACTACCATTCTACCTCCTGGTGAGAATTTGCTTCTTGCACGATTTCACCCTCACTCTCGCTTGGTTAGGGGCTGGGCGGGATTCTGATTGCCACGAAGCTCACTTGCCAGAGACAAGCAAAGATGGAACCCACCGATCCAAGTGCCTGGCTGGCGGGTCTCTATATTTTATTCCCATAGCTTCTTCGTCCGAACGACTAATTGTTGCTTTTGCTGGACCTCCACATGCGATTTTGTGACTGAAGGGGTTGAACCACACGTTGTCTAGGACGGAGTAATTTCAAGCTTCTTGCAGCCACACATGGAAAAGTCGGAAGACTGAACAGCACAATTCCGCTGGGGAAAATCTGCAAGCATTGTCGACATCGGATGGTTTGAGGTTTGCACCGAGCCAGTCGCAAAACCGCGATGACTTGAGCGCCTCGAGAAACATTTCATAACATGCGCGCGACGCTGCCTAAACTGGCAGCCCCCAAGTTTGATAGATCCACTGTTTTTAGACAGGGGGAACCGACCCACAACGGCAGGAGCGGGCACTATTTTAGAAGGCGCCACCAAGATCGTGACAATCCTGGATGGATGGATGGATAGATAGATAGATGGGTCATCCACTCGCCAAAACGGTCGCGACGGGTTTACTGCTTTGGCCTTTTACGGTCCCCTCAGTTTTCCAAACTGTTCCAAACTGCGCGAGGTATAGTCAGACCTCAAACCCCATCTTGTACAAGCTCCTACATAGGCAAGCCGAGTCGCATTTCTTTCAAATGTAAGGAGCAAACCGGGTACCTACCTACAATTTCGCCAGGCAGTGTTGGTGGTTTCAATGCACGCGGCAGGCATCGAATAATCTGTTTGCTCCGGTGATGCGAAACATACTCCATTTTCGCTACTCCAGTCATCGCATTCCTTGTTTTGGATTAGGACTTAGTTCCATTGCTACAATTTGCATGCAGCACAGCGCACAGCACATAGGTGGCTTAACACCTGGCGCATGCATTGGAGCCACTAGCACTGATTACTTCAGTGCCGTTGGGGGGGGCTTTGTAAAGCCTGAGCTGGGGGGCGCTCGTTTCACCAGAGGCGGGATACGCAAACAACACGCGGTATGAAATTCGATCATTTCAATCTCTTGGCTGTGCTTCGGCCGCTGTTTGCTTCGACAATATTACGCACGTCTTTGGGAGTCTGATGTACGTATTCCCTGTGTCTTCTGGCATGCCGTGGTAACGAGCCTTGCCTTAGCTTCAGTTGCTCAAGGCAGGTTTGCTGTTTTCTGCTATTTATGCATCTACCAAAGCACCAATCTCCCGAGACTTGCAGGTGTAACGTTGGTCATCGAGAGGCCAAGAGGCTGGAAGGAAGCAAGTTGGGGGTAGAAGTAGCGAGGGGTTCTTTCGTGACGGCCAAACGATAGGTCACAATGACGGTCGGCTTGCCGAGATCGGCTTACATGCGCACGTCGATCATTTTTAGTCGATCAGTCGGTTGCGCATCACCATTTGGGAAGTTTTTCCAGTTGTATGCGACAGAACAAGACCTCTCGGCTTCGTCGCTCGTTCAGATATATCTCGACTTATACCTACCACCGCGCTCAAGCCAGTGGTGTGCGTACCGCAGAGATGTGGTTCAAATAAGCTTTTGTGGACCCGTTGAAGTAGTCCGTAGAGCTTGTCAAGCTTTCTTGCCAATCCGACCGTCGTGGGTGGTTGTGCCGATTCAGGCACGAACGTGATCTTGTCGAGCTTCATTGTAACATGCACAGGTAGAATTGGGACAGCTAATACGTAGGTTCTCCTGCTTCTCGGCCTCTTTCTATATAATTGAGTAACTAAATCTCAGCCGGTTCTGTTTCACGACAAGACATCGCATTGCTAGACCATTACGCTACAGAAGAAGGAAGCCGAGACATTCGTCAATCCGCCTTTAGTTGTTTCTGAGATCTCCCAGCGTATTTCTGCGACTAATTCCCCGCGCTACGTGCATCGATGATAGTCCCATGGGAGATACCCGGCAGGCTAGTGGTGACTGCGCCTTTGTCCAGTCTCCAGCACATGTCATGTTGACTTAAATGGCATCGTATTTGCTTTGCAGGAGCGAGCGGTCTAGGCAAAGAACCCCCCTGAACATTTACCGCGTACAAACTATTTCACCCGTAGAGTATTGGACAGCTGAACTTGGCACCCCGATGAGAATTTGCGCAGCTTGGTCATAATGGAAGGAAGCAACACGCAAGATGCTGCAAGATACGTGTTGGGCCGTGACAATATTCGAAAGGCGGGGTACTCGCATGTTGTGTCTCCGGCGGGTGTGCCGCGATGATCATTGACCGCAAGGGAGGTTCTTTTCGCGGAACCGTGTGTCGGTGAGGTGCTTGCATAAGTATGGGGCGTAGGCGGCGGGCTATTATGAAGTTTTTCTCTTTCTCTCCCTGTCCTACTGAAAATCAATTCAAATTATTGAGGAGAGCTTTATTAGTCCTATCCATATGCATGGTGTCGGTCAGCCCCCAAGCCTTGTTGGGGCCCCTAGTTTACCGCACAGTTAGCTCTAGACCGTCTCGAAATGCCGAAAGATCAAGCGTCGTCTGCGTCCGCCAGTCCTCGAAAAGCCACCTGCGGAGGGCCTGACCAATCCATCCGTCGTCGAATGCCACTTACCGGCAGGATGATAAGACGGATGGACATGAGTGAGCGCGAGTAAATGGTGGAGAGGGCTGTTGCTGCGACGAGGCTCCTTCCGCTTTCCGTTCTGCATTGTGTGTGTCTTGGTATCTCATGTATGTCATTATCCAACCACTTTTGTTACACGACGTTCCTCGTTGGGGGAACCCTCTCTCAGCCCTACAGCAGTCAGGCAGGCAGATTTCAATGTCAATATGATATCAGAGACAAGAAAGTTTAAATGGCGGTCGCGGACGAAGCCGCGTCTTACTCAGCCTGCAAGAGCTGTCAGCACCTCTCGTTTTGGATGGACTTGGACTTTTGACGGTGATCAGGGCCGTAAAAGGCCAGACGATCCTGTCTCAGACGCCATATTGACAGGCTCAAGCCAAACAGGTGTTGTTACTATTTTTTATGGGGGGGGGGGGGTTGTTTTGTTGTGGCCTGTCTGCTCAATCGGGTCAGGTGAGGGGCTTTTGTATGCGTCCGGCGGTACCTTCCCAGCTGCTGGAAGCATTCCCACGTCAGAGCAGCTTCCATCACCCAAACGTGCTCATATTGTATTCACCGCCCCAATCTTGATCTGTTTCCCCCTCTGTCGTGCAAAAGCATTGGTTGCACTGAACCCATTTTTCAGCCTCCATCTTACCAGTAGTATATCGAAAGCTTATGGCCGGCAAAGCTTTCAATGATACGAAGATACTGAAACAGGCAACTGTCCGCGAGACACCGGCTCTTCCCAACATATTTTGCTAATCTCAACAGGTATTCCAATGTACACACAGGTACCAGTACGCAATCAAAATGATATGATGTTGGAACTACTGGTAGATATGCGCCACGATTTCACCGGCTTCTCGCCCATCCATCCGCCGCAATGCAGCTGCAGGGATTCTCGACCGGTCTGCCTAAGCCGATTAGACGCGTCTCCAATATGAGAGCCGAGCAGAGAGCTGTTGGCTCTTCCCCAGGCGCTTGCCTGGCCACTGTGAGCTTTCTTGTTCATCTTTCCTCTCTGCCCTATTTCAGCCAATTCTCAAAAGTCTTCGGAAATTTTACTCGGTTTGGTATCCCGGCGCGATGCTCTCACGCCTCGAAAACAGGGTCACTGGAAAGCTGTGACGGAGTAGTAAGAAGTGTCAAGGTCTAGAACCAGTCACAGTGTGCGACGAGACCTTCTACGTCAGAATCAGTGATGAAAGCTGTCCTAGTCACGAAGGTAATTGTGGAATCGGATAATGAACGCCGTTATGGAAATCCCTGAATACTTGCTATAATACGGCTTCTGATATACTCAAGTGGGCAAATGACATTTCATGTCAACTTTTAGATCCTGCAGAGATTCAATCGCACCTAGAGGAGTATAATTGTTCGGCTCTTGCTACTGGAGGATGTGGAAGGTCCAGAGCCTCGTCAAATTCTTCAAGCTTTCAGATGAGATATCTGGAGTACTACATTACGCATTCTAAAAAGGCATGGGCATTTTTATTTTACAGCTCAGACCGCTTCAAGGTCATGGCTACAGCCCAAGCTTATCAGAACTACCTTTTCAGCTATATTACCATATTCCAGTCCAGGGTCTGACTTGACTTCAATTTCTCTCCAGTCCCATAGTCCCATCAGAGCAATTAAGACGTGTTGAAACCTGCTGGCCCTCAGCTTATCGGCAGCCTGTCCAGGGCCTGGTTAGCTGTTCCCTCGGTTCTCTCTGCGGCCACAGATAAAAGATGTCGTGGCAACCAATCTGTGGGACTTTTCGAGTTGTGACAGATCATCGCCCCCAACGCAGTCTGGCGCGCTCTCGAGCGCCAACACGTTGCAGGTTTCAGGGCCTAGTTTTTACCAGCGGGGGTTCAACACTTCCACATCCACGTATCGTCCAAACCCGCGAACAGTCTGCCGCTCCGATGCCGAAGACGAGACAGTTTACTGAACGCCTGTCGCAAAGATGGACGAAAAGAGCCTCGACTGATGGCTTGGTCTTTCAACCCG